CTCTCCTGACCTGCCTGCTGCTCCCCTCAGCAGTGTACTTCATCAGTTGGCCTGTTCTGCTCCCCACTCTGTCTCTGGTGAATCCTCTCACCGACCCTGTACCTCTGGCCTGTACCCCAGTTCTGTATGCATCAATAAATAAATGTTTTAAAAAATTAACTACTGAAGTCTCTATGCATTATAGTACAATCTGTGAATCTTTAACTGAAAAAGATTTATTTCACTTCTATCATTGAATAAATAGGTTAATTCTTTAAAGAATTCTGACTTGAGAATATTTTTACTTCTGCAAATATTTGTTTCTTGCTGCTAATAAGAATTCTCTCAATCTGATAGTAATTCTGCTGTAAGTGATGTCTTCTCAGATTTTCACTTTGCCCTTTATTTTCTGAAACAATAAAATAATTTTGTGTGTTTAGGCATGGATTTTTATATCTTTGTTGGGATTTTTCCATATCCCTTTAATCTAAGACCTTGTCTTTCTTCAACTTTCAAAAATTCTCAAGCATAATCATACAAATTTTTCTTCCCAGATTTTTTATTTTGTCTTTTGGAAGTTCTCTTGAAATTTCTGTCTACTCTATGTCTCTTAACTTCTCTTTCATGACTTCTATTTATCTTTCTGATGTATTATGGCAATTTTCCTCAAGCTCCATCTGCTGAATTACTAAATCTCTCTTCAGTTCTCTGTAAAGAGTTTGTATTTAGAAACACTTTCTTTTATTTTCTAAAATGTCACTTATTTCAAATCTGCTCTGCCTTCCTTATCTTACAAATTCTAGTCTCTCTTTTTTTGAGGATATCCTAGTTTGAAGCCTCTTTTATAATAATCTATTACTTATAGTTTGGGATGTGTTTATCTTTTTGTTTCTTCCTGTCTATTAAATTTCCCTTTGGGGTGTGTGTAATTTATCAACCTCAACAAGGAGTCCATCATAGTTTGCTTTTACCTCTCCCAGAGTCTTATGTGTTTCATTGATTACAAATGATTTTTTGAGCTAATTTCTCACTGGATAAATGAGTCCTACATCAGTTGTATAAATGAGAATCTCAACCACATGTACAATAGTGCAGCTGAGAGTAAAGCTTTTCTTCATCTATTCTCAGTAAAGCAAGTTACTTCCCTGTTTCTCTAGACAGTGATTAGAATTTTTTTGGTTCTTGTTTCATGGATAGAGAAGTCTGTTTTCATTTCTGGCTTTAAACAGACATCTCGGTTGGTCCCAGCTTTCCATTTGCATGGATTTTCTTTTAAATTTTAAAACTGTATGCATACATAACTGGGGTACAGGCCTGAGGTGCAGGGGTGGTGAGAGGATTCACCAGAGACAGAGTGGGGAGCAGAACAGGCAGACTGATGAAGTACATGCTGAAGGGAGCAGCGGGCGGGTCAGGAGAAAAATATTTAAGAAAATAACTATATTTTCCAGATCAATGAGAAGAGTGACCAAATTTGCACATATCTTTTTAAAAATTATATACACACACACACACATATATTAGGTCATCCTTCATTTTGTACATTTTTTCATCTCTGTTGTATTTCCCAAGGACTTCCCACCAACACTTCTCCTAGGTGCCATCACCAGAGTTCCGTGTGCATGGATGCTTACCAGGATACCTAGCCAGGTGTGTGTTACAAACTACAGGTTGCAGCAGTAAGTGCTCTGGTTATTGTTACTTCTGTGCATCTTCTGCAAGGTCTCAACCTCTGACTCCTAGTTACCTTTCCTTACCGGTTGCCTAAAGCAGTTTTTTGCTTGCTTTAAAAATTGGCTAACAGAAAATGTTTTATTATATGTTATCCTCTTATGTTGCCCAAAATGGTTAAAAGTCTACAGTATTTTTTTTAATTGATTATTTAACCTTCCAAGAAGATGTTAAAGTCTACCAGCAATTATCTGAGGCTTTGTAGAGGGTGAAGCATCAAAGTTTGGAGGAAACAATCTCTGTCAAAACCTGGCAACAAATTTCACCGCAGTTTTACAAGAAATTATTTAAAAATCAACAAAATCCAGTAAGAGCTTGCTGTTATTCATGTCTTTTAGAGGCAGTGTGATTACTGGAAATGGGGATTCTAGGAGTGGGTGGGCTCTGAGGGAGCTGGGAAAACCCATAGCCTACAGTTGACCCTTTCTTTGGCTTCATCTAACTCAAGTCTTTATTCATCTTGCAATTCAGACTATATATTTCTGTTCTCTTCCTTACAAAAAAAAAAAAAATAATAATACTGCTTTGCTCCAGAACTCCTGAAGAAGTACTCCTACTCTGTGTTTACTGGTAAGTTTGTTCATTTTATTATCAACAAGTTAGGACGCAACAGGATCTGCTTAATATTCATTTTGGTGAAAAAACCCAGAGCTGGAACTTTGTGTATTTAGAAAGTGTACACCACTTTAAGACACCAGGACAGAATATTTTTTGTTTGTTTGTTTCCAGGAGATTGCAGGCAAGCAGTATGTGAATTCCAATGATCTTCATTGAATTTTAAGGTTTTTTTTTTGGTAGCCGGGCTGCATCTTATTAATCTTTGTATTCCCCAATAACATGTGATTTATACCTTATGCTCAAACATATTTGTGGACTAGAATCTCCGATAAATAAACTTGCCAGAGTTGGGCTTTTTTTCCCCCTCTATAACTTATCTTTGAACATAGGTAACCAGCTTGTTTGAGTGTTTTTTTGTACAGATTTTTCATCACTAGAATCCAACTCCACATCATTCCATCCAACATAGAAAGGTTTCTTTTTGTACAATAAGAGAAACAACTAATTTAACCCCATCTCCAGTCTGTTTGTCTCCATCCATCCATCACCCATCCACCATCCACCCATCCATCCATCATCCATCCATCATCCACCCATCCATCCATCCATCATCCATCCATAACCATCCATCCATCCATCCATCCATCCATTCATCCATCCATCCATCATCCATTCATCATCCGCCCATCTATCCATCATTCATCCATCCATCATCCACCCATCTATCCATCCAGCCAGCCAGCCAGTCATCCACATCTGTACATCCCTCCACTCTATCAAATACCTTATTGTTTTTGTCTGGGTAGCATTCCTCTTAATAACACTAAATTTTGGAGACTGAACTCTCTCCTTCCTAATGCATGATTTGAGTAGGATATAAGTGGCTTACATCATTCACCTGGAACACAATGTCTAGTTAACTAGGAGTATGTGACCCAGGCGGAGGTAAGGAATGGAAGAAAATATTCACAGCGCTGTATATAGGATCCTTTCCACACTGGAAAGACCAAGAATTCATTCTGACAGGAACAGACGCTCATCTAATACTGATTTTGCCTTTCCTTCAGCACCATTACCTATGGGTTCATCATATTGGATCAACTGGCATGGAATCCCTCATAAAATTGCATCCGATCAGGGAACCTACATTACTGCAAAAAAGGT